AAGAGAATCACTTGAACCCAGGAGGCGGAGGTTGCAGTGAGCTGAGATTGCGCCTCTGCACTCCAGCCTGGGCAACAAAGGGAAACTTTGTCTCAAAACAAACAAACAAATAAAACAACTCCAGTGCTGCTGTTAAGTGTTATTTTAGGGGTTTTACTAAATGATTAGGCTGGGGTAATAGGTTGACTTTTTAAGATGAGGTCTATGCAAGGTGCCAACCCTTAGTCTGTATTCTTTTTAGTAGATAATGTTGATGTTAGATTGTTTATGCTATTTAGTTGCTAAAATATTTATACTATAAATATTTTATCTATTTATATTTATAACTATCTATTGTAAATATGTATGAAACAGCTTCTTGTGGCACTCAAATAAGAGATAAAGCATGTTCCTTTTTCTCTGTAGTTATTTTAGGTTTTAGAGATTCCCCATATTTGGACACTGGAATCATCTTTTTATTTAATTTAATTTACTCTTCTATTTAACATTTATTCTGTAACTACAATAACCACAATCTCATGGATAGTGCCTGCCATAAGCCATGTATTGTCCTAGGACTGAGAAAAAAGACAAGGGTCTTATTCTTAAATTAAGTAACTTCTGGGTTCCAGGTGGTGATTTTGGCATAAGAGACACAAAGATGACGAAGGTGGGATCTTCTCCCTCAAGCAGGTCCCTGTTTATTAAGAAAAATACATTTCCATACAGGCAATACCCCAACGGGCTATTGTAAGGGTTCTTGTTCTGTTGTAATCCAGTGTTGCAATAGCCGATGTTCTGTTGTGTGGCCAGTGCTGGATGTTGGCTGGCATGCTTTTTGATTGGTCAGCATCTATGTTATGTTGGTTGCTAACATTGTTACTGTCATTTATGGGAGTCATCATGCACTTACTGAGATTCTGCAATGGGCCAGTCACTGTGCTATTCATTGGGACATAATGGTGAGCAAAAGATGCTGCTTGCCTTCAAGGAGTTGGCTATTTACTAGACTCTAGTGTTTGGAATAAGGTATGAGGGGAAATACAATGAATATGGGTAGTTTATCTACCGAGAGCATACGAAATCTTTATATGTGGTGAGTCTCAAAGAGTGACGTGGTGACAAGGAAACAAATGGATTTCTTTCCAAAAGGAACAACACCTACACTAATGTTAACATGATGAAGAGTGTTAATGGTAGGAACACTGCAGTAATTCAGCTCTGCTAGTCTTTGGACCAGGTGGGAGAGAGCACAGGAGGTATGAGTGTTGGGAGTCTTCATGAAAGGCCTTGGGTGCCAGTCTAATGAATGTGGATCACATCCTGTGACCAGATACCGTGAAACAGCTTGAAAGGTTTCAGCAGGGAGTGCAGTGAACAGATATGCATGCACCTCCCTTATCCCACAAGCAAACAGACAATAGAAGAGATGAAGGGAATGAGGTGAATATGCTAAGGACATAGAATAAATAGGACTACACAACTGTTCAGATGCTGTAAAGGAGGAAGACAGAAACTCAAAGGTGACATCTCGGTTTCTGGCCAGGCTAAATGGCAATGCTTTCAATAAGCTGAGGATCCCAAGAGGGGGAGGCTTTAAAGAGAATATAATGTACCCTGTTTTGAACCTGTTATTAATATATTTGACATGTTAATTGGATAACCACAGAAAGATATCCAGGAGATGAGAGACAAGGTTTGCTTAAAAAAAGAGCCTAGCAGTAAAAAAAACTGGGGAGACATTGCTCTAAAACTGGTAAGCAAAACCTTGAAGAACAAAGCCTAAAGAATGAGAAACAAACTGGGTCTCAAGACAGCCTCCATAGAATGTCTTTGTTGGCCCAGTGTCCTCTAGCTGTGCAGATCCAATCTACTTTTCCTATTATATCCATAAAATTGTCTTTAATTTTCAGAGGCAAAGCCACCCTCCCGACTCTCTGCCCTCTCTTCTAGGTCGTAACACAATTTGTCTTAGAATCTAATTCGCTTTGGATAAGCTAGACTTTTCCCCCTAGCCTGTAAACTCCTGAAGAGGAGAGATTATTCTTCTGCTCTGTATGTGTCTCACATGGTAGCTGCTCAGTAAAGGCTTGTGAAATTCATTTGAGCTGATCAGCTTCTAACCATGAAACTCTTCTAAATGACAGGCATTATATACAAATCATGCTGTGTAATTGTCACAAGAACCCCGTGAGATATTTATTATCTTCATGTTACATATAAAGAAACTGAAGTGGTGGCCAGGCGTGGTGGCTCATGCCTATAATCCTAGCACTTTGGGAGGCTGAGGCAGGTGGATCACCTGAGGTCAGGACTTTCAGACCAGCCTGGCCAACATGGTGAAACCCCATCTCTACTAAAAACACAAAAATTAACTGGACATGGTGCTGGGTGCCTGTAATCCCAGCTACTCAGGAGGCTGAAGCAGGAGAATCACTTGAACCCGTGTGGCCGAGGTTGCAGTGAGCCGAGATCGCGCCACTGCAGTCTAGCCTGGGTGACAAAGCGAGACTCCGCCTCAAACAAAAAAGAAAAAGAAAGTAAGAAACTAGGTTTGGAAAATGGAGATCACACAATCAATGAGGGCCAAAGCCCAAATTTGAACCCAGAATGATCTAACTCCAAAATCCATGCTTATTTCACTAGGCTCTACTGAATTTAACAGCAAGGTATCTTCTCACTTGCCTCTAAGGAGAATGGAGGGCTTAATATCATCTAATTGTAATCAAGAATGACCAACCGAATTGGGAAGGGAGGAGTAAAAATTGCCACGAGTTTCAGGAAGCCTGTTTCTTTTATGTTTACCCAAAGGAATCATAAGAAGCTCATTTTGCAGAGTGTTAAACCAAGGCCCAAAGAGGGCCCACTGAGGTGTCATAGCAGGCACAAAGGTTAGAAAACATGATTTTTTTTTCTTTTCTTTTCTTTTTTTAGATTCCCAACTGGAAAATAATAGAATTCCCATTGATGCCACTCCCATTTCCTTACCTCATGGAATTTTGTGTCTTTGTGTGTGTTTGTGTTACCAGGTTTGCTGAAAAGCCCAGTGAACAAGACAGCCCTGACACTGATTGCTGTGAGCTCCTGCATCCTGGCCATGGTGTGTGGCAGCCAGATGTCTTGTCCACTCACTGTGAAGGTGACTCTGCATGTGCCCGAGCACTTCATAGCAGATGGTAAGAGCCGAGCATTGCAGATGCTCCACACCCACTCAGCACCTTGCACCCCGGCTGGTCAAATGTTTCTACGTATGGCCCAATGTTAGAATTATTATAATATGTATTATAGGGGAAAAAAAAGGAGCATCTAAATACCTTGGAAGAGGATCTTATCATTTGGAGTCTGGATTATTTGAATTAAGGACTACTTTTACTTTTTAATTTTTTTTTCTTTCTATTTTTTCTTTTACTTTAAGTTCGGGGATACATGAGCTGAACGTGCAGGTTTGTTACATAGGTATACACGGGCCATGGTGATTTGCTGCACCCATCAACCTGTAATCTAGGTTTTAAGCCCCACATGCATTAGGTATTTGTCCTAATGCTCTCCGTCCCCTTTACCCGCCACCCCCTAACAGGCCCCAGTGTGTGATGTTCCCCTCCCTGTGTCCATGTGTTCTCATTGTTCAACTTCCACTTATGAGTGAGAACATGTAGTGTTTGGTTTCCTGTTCCTGTGTGAGTTTGCTGAGGATGATGGTTTCCAGTTTCACCCATGTCCCTGTAAAGGACATGAACTCATTCCTTTTTATGGCTGCATAGTTTTCCATGGTGTGTATGTACCACATTTTCTTTATCTAGTAAAGACTGCTTTTAACCTATGAGCAACAATCAAGTTTAAAAAATAAAGGAAGAGCTCAAATGTGAATGCAGAAAGATTGAGCTACTTCAGAGAACCTACTGGTTCTTTTGATTGTAGATCCATTTCAAAATAAAAATGTCCCCCAAAGAGTATTTGCTAATTAAAATCATATGACAAGAAAGACTGTATGAGTTTTAATGGAATTTCCTGAATGTCCTGGATAATATTTATATTCTCTTTCCCTGTAAATATGCTTTACAAGTATCTTATATTGTACCATTTACTTTTCACGCAATTAAATTGAATTAATGAGACACTGTAGCCACCTTAGTCATTAGCAAAGCATGGTCCAAGGCCCTGATTAAGGTGGTTGCTATTTATTGCTAAAGTACCCTCCAGAAAAGTTGTCCCAGTTTACACATTCCAGGAAATGTTGGCGTCTGTTTCTCAAACGCTTCTCACATGGCGTCACCGTCTTTAGATGTATTGAAGTTTGGCATAATTATAATAAAGAAGGCATACCTTAACTGTGCAACTGTGCAACTTAATAAATTTTCAGTTTTAGAACTTTTTACACTTTAAAAATTGTATACATTTTACACTTTTTCAAGTAAAATGTATACGTCTTGATGAGTTTGAAGATAAGTAAATACCCATGAAATCAACACCATAAGGAATGCCATAAACATAGCCATCACCTCTAAAAGTTTCTTCTCACTCTATATTTTTGTGATAAGGACATGTAACAGGATTATATATGAATCTACACAGATAAAATCATAGAATATTTCCAGCACCTCATAAGGTTTCCTTGTGCCTCCTTCCAGTTAGTGCTCTGTAGAGGCAATAAACTTTCTGACTTGTAGCACCATATTAGTACCATTAATTCTTAAAAATATTTTTGCATTTTGAGATGTATTGAATGTTTTTGAGATCCTTACCCTCTATTTGCCAGTCTTCCTTCAGTGAAATTCGATTTTATCTCCATGGTTTAAGTCTCAGTGTTCAGAATTTAGCACCATCCTTTTAGTATATTTTGACCAGAGCAAAGTGGAATTTTACTCCCATTCTCTGAAACATTCAAACTCCTATTAATTCATCCTGATTGTTCCAACTTCACCATAGTGCAGAAGCCCCTGCTTGTTTTTCACTGGGACTGCAAATAAGTTCATATACATTCAGAACTTATATTTCTTATTTCACATATGTTCATTTGATTTTCAGACCTATGTACACACAAGACTTCAGCTCATCTTTAATGAGTCATATGTGCACATAAGACAGGTAAATATGTGGTGGGGGAGATGGCAGGGAATGGTGTAGGAAAGCAGGAGGAACAAAATTTACAGAAGCAAATAGTTTCATGGATTATGCAGCTGGAAGAATTGCATGTCCCTACCCTTCATCTCTCAGCTGTCACTACTCATTAATTGTAGAATGTTAAGACTTAAAGGTGTTCAAGTTTTACATATTTATTTTCATACATGTAGAAATGGAAGCCCTGAGAAAATAACTTGCTCAAGGTGAAACAGTTTAATGGCTAAGAGCACAGGCTTTGGAATAATATAAACATTAATCCAAATGCTTGCTCCTTGTCTGCCTCTTTGATAGCAAAGTGAATTCACCTCTCTGAGCCTCTGTCTCTGCATCTATAAAATGTGGATAATAGTAGTACCTACCTCACAGGAGTATTCTGAAGACTACAACTCCCGCTTTTTATCATGTTCATCAAATTTTCAGATAGCATGTGGCTGAGAAATGGCGAACAGTTGGGAAATAGCAAAATCAAGGCATTACTTAAGAGGGCTACAAACCATCTTGATGATTTGGAAGGATAGACCAAAGTGTGGTGAATTAAAAGGTGCCCTTTCTCAGTGTGCCCAGTGTCTTAAGCTTAAAATTTTATAATAGCCTGTGAAATTGTCTGTTTCTGCCTCTAGACTGGAATCTCTGTGAGGGCAGGAATTATGTCTTTGGGGAGAAATATTATATTCCCATTGATAAGCACAGTACGTGGTTCATAATGGATATTCAGCAAATATGTGTCCAGTAGATGAGTGTTGCCTGAATTAAAACTGAGTTGTTCATTGTTCTATAGGATCCTTCTAGTAGATCTCTAAGCACACAACAGATACTGAATCAAAGAAAACTAAGGCAGATGATGCATAGCGATCAAAGATGTTTTGAAATGTACCCATGAAGTTTTAAAATGTACCCAGGATTTGTCTGCAGATGCAGAAAGAACTGTTGTGAAACAAGCAGTTTTCATACTCACAGATCTCAGATACACGATGTACAGCACACCATGCAGACCATGTGGGAAAGCACCCATATCTACCAGCAGGCAGAGGGACCAAGTGTAAAGCATGGGAAAGAGCCTGTCTTATGGTATTGCAGGAAGAAATGGGTGAGGCAGTGTAAGCAGGGCAGACAGATTTGAGATTGGCTAATTTGAATCACTTTAGTGGGCTCTAGGGTTTCAGAACTGCTCCTGATTGCCTGGTATCTGGCTCTCGGGTGATGAAGGAAGAGAATATTCCTTCCCAATGTGTACAAGCTGTATAGAGGAGATGACTGGAATGTAGGTTCTGGATTGGTTAATATTCATATGAAAGAGATGCTCCCTGGGCAAGTCTTTTGCTTTCTCTAAGATATGACTATCCCTGGAGGGGAGGGCTCTCCCCAGTCAGGAGGCTCAGATGCCAGAGCACCAAGCTTACAGAACATAAGGAAATATAATTAATACAAAAGAAAAAGAGAAATAACTACGGAGTGTTCACATCCTGGAGATGTGATGGAGCAAGCTTAGAAGACAGCATTGGGAAGGCCTTGTCCACAGTATCTTAGTCTCTAGGCATAATGGAATCTCCATCCCTTACATGCCATAATATCTTGGTAGGAATGCATCCTTTCAAGTGAAGTAGGCTTTGGTTTGGATCTAAATTTTGTTGCTTAGTTACTATGAAACATAGAAGAGTCAAGTTAGCTACCTGAGTCTCATTTTTCTCATCTATCTGTAAAATAAGGATTATTATGTGATTGAATGTTATAATGTGTATGAAGTGCTTAGTAGAGTGTCTAAAACATTGTTATAGCCCAAAAAATGGTAGCTGTTATTACTCTTATTATCAAAACAGTTTGTAGAGAAAGAGACTTCAGAAGCTGGAATATGGCGAACCAAGAAAATATAGAAAACTAAATAGGTGAATTTAGCTACTCTCAGTGAGGTGAATGGAAGAGGGAGTACATTATATGCTCTGTTCCAGCCAAAAGTGACTTTCCCACTTGGAGATGTTAATACTTGAAAGTCCTCCATCTCTGGGGCTCAGCAGGAATCCTGGGAGTATCCAGCATTTGAAGCCAGGTGGATAGCTATCTGGTAATTCCAAGCAAGCTCACCTTCCCCAGCATGATCCTAATGCCTCCTTTGGCAGAAACTCTATCAGCGCTGCTCATCTCATTCCTCCAAAAGCTCTCCAAAGTAGTCTTTATTATCCACCTGTGGGAGATACAGAAACTGGAATGTGAAGGGGAGTAGAATCAAATCATCTGTAGGAATACAGAAGGGTCTAGAAAATTGATTTTATAAATTGTACTACTGGAGTTTCCAGCTCTGATTTCTGGAGATATGAGGGTATTACCTAGGGGGATGAGAGGGAAAGTGATAATAGTGCCTATTTTCTTGAACCCATGTCATCCCTTAGCATTGATATTTATAAATGTGTTGCAACCTAACATAAATGTAGTAACAAACAGAGATGGAAAGTGCACAATTCTATGATATTTTACATATATATATTCACCCACATCATAATACCGGCCCCTTAAGACTGGCAAAGTTTTTAAAAACATTAAAAACAAAGTCTCAATGAGGCCTGTCGGGATGAGGGCAGCTCATGTCAAGTGCAAGAAGCTCCATTTGAGACCAGGTCTCCCACGGACCAAAGCCAGGGCAGCTTTCATCCTTTTTCAGTCACCCCCATGAGTTCCAAGCTGCCAAGGTGCTGGCCCTTCTTAGTAGAGAGAGCTCTCAGCCACCCTTACACGTTGAGCTGTCCATGGTGCTGGATCATTGGATGGGGCTGAGTAATGGGTCCTGTCTTCCAGGAGAAAATGAATTCTGCCCCTTGTGTTACTGCATAGTTATACTCGATGCTTACTGTCCATTATAAAGAAAAGGTCATTATGACATAGCACTTATGCAGAGCCCAGCTGGCAAGAGTTCTGACACAGTTCCCATCCAAATCCTTGGCAAATCTCACCCCTTCTTTTATCTGGGCTTCTTCAAAGCCATCAGTGGCTTTTTGCCCTCCTAAGCACACACTGAAGAAATGGAACATGTTTGCATCTAAACAGACTTAAGCTAGCATTGTTT